TTCTTAGCCTTACACCTCATAATGAATAAGGTTGATGCACTACTTCGCACTCCGTTTTCGCAGCTGCCGCTGGAACAAAAATTAGAGGTACAACGTCTTGGGCCTTATCAACCAAAAAATTGTTCACTGGAACAATCCCATGACGGAGGAAAGCGTCGGCGTACATTCTGCGCAGAAACTTGGTATAAAAAACACGAATGGTTGTGTTACAGCGAGGACAAAAATGCACTTTTTTGTTTTTATTGCCTACTTTTTGCTATCGCCCGTGACTCACGTTGGCGTAAATTTGGTTTTAGAGATCTTAAACATCTTTCCGAGCGTGCCAGGGATCATCAATCTTCTATGGAGCATCTGGACAATGCAGTAAAATACCGAACATTCGGAAATGTTAATATTGCAGCACAGTTGGATGAAACGGTTTCTATTGATCGGCACAACCAACGTCGAGACGCCAAACGTCGAGAAAAACCGCCATGTTCTCGGTCGATTGATAGATATTTTGAAGTTCATTGGTTGTCACGAGCTGTCCCTCCGTGGGCACGATGAATGGGCTCTTCTAATAGAGGGGTATTTTTGGATATGGTGGAATACACCGCATCCCTAGATACAGTATTGAGAGATCATCTTGATGCCGCAACTGTTTCGAAAGGGACATCTAAGGATATCCAAAATGATTTGCTCGACTCAATGTATAAAATTTATTTACAACATCTTATTGAGAATTGCCAGTTCCTTTCGATTCAGTCTGACGAGACAACTGACATCACGTGCGTTTCCCAACTGGCTGTGATTTTTCGGTTTGTGAAAGATGGTAAACCTACCGAGAGATTTCACAGCTTTGTACCAATCGTTGATCGCACGGCTTGCGGGATATCGGCTGTACTGAAAGAAGTGTTACAGCCTTACAACGCGAAGTCAAAATTGATAGCTCAAACTTATGACGGCGCGGCAGTCATGAGTGGGTCGAAACATGGTGTTCAAGTTTATATAAAATAAGATTTTCCTCATGCGCATTTTTTACATTGTTATGCACACCAATTTAACCTCGTTATTAAAAATATGTGTCTTGATACCCCTCTCGTCCGTATATTTTTTTGCAAATGTTTCGGGGTTTTCTCCATTTTTTTCCGTTTCGCCGAAGCGCTCTGACCTCCTTCGCCAGATATGTAGCCGCCGTCTCCCAGCTTGTGCACCAACACGTTGGAACTTCCAATCACGCGTGTGCAGGGCGTGTCCGAAATTAGGTCTGAGCTCATTGAGTGTTTCAATGGCATTCAGAGCTCTCCGGTTTGGGACGAACGCTCTGTGAGGGAGGCGGCAGGTCTAAAGCGTCTGCTAGAACATAGGTTCTCAAAGTGCTCCGTATGGAGCCCCAGGGCTCCGCGAGAGAAACCCAGGGGCTCCGCGAACTATTCGATTACTTTTCAGAATACTGACTTGGCTAATTTTGTAACTGTTCAAAGAATCAATGACAGCTTTGATAAAATTTGACAACAATATAGCCTCGAAATATGGCAAAGTGGCGGAATTAAAATGACATTATTTATAAGCAGGAGCGCAGCCAGGATTTTTAAGAGGGAGGAGATTCACAATTGGAATCGGAAATTTCCGCGCAACATTCTTTGCGATTAAAAAAAAACGGATAACGAGATTTCTGTTGCGTAAAATATTCAATTCATGACCGATGCGACCATTTAAATTGTCTTGTCGCAATAATTTAATTGTGCTCATCGTTACTCACGTTCGAGACTACTATTAGGATTACTGAAATGAAAAAATACTATTGTAAAATAACATAAACTGCGTAATAAACTGCCAACTATAAATAAATTGGAGTCGTATTTTTGCGATCTTGGGATTTGTTAAATTTGATTTGTTCTTTCGCACTCGAGATTATTTTTAAGCAAGATATCGCTGTTTGAAAAATCACAAGGTCTTGGCAAAATTTATTTTGGTGCATGCGGCTCCGTCGGTAGTTTCAGAATGGAAAAATGGTACATCGTGCGCATAATTAATTGACTGTGTTTCAATTTCGCAGTCACTGCGATGAATAACCGAAGAAAACCTAACATAACACCAAATTTTGTGATTTACAATGTCTATAAAAGCGTTTTTATTCTGATGTGAGTCTGCTGAAACAAAACTTATAGTGTTATCTTTCATTTTAAGTTTTAGTTCTAATATTTTAGAACGCCGCTTTTCAATCAAGAAATTTGAATTGCGGACCTCTTTACTAACTATTATTTTGTAGTATTTCGTCGCCGATGATTATATTATGGTAACATGTTTTTCACATTGAACTCATAATTCCCCACGAGAACGAAAAAGCATTTATCGTCGTCATTGTGGAACAATACATGTATATGCCGAGGGAAATTTTTGATTTAGGGAGAATAAACACCGGCGTAAAGATGTTTGAGGTTTAAAAACACGCCATGCTGACGAAAACAATCGGCGATTGTAACAAAATGCAATCGCGCACGTTATTAGAGGCCTTTTAAGTCTTCCAAAAATGTCAAGAGGAGAAAAGATTCGACCCCTAATTTACAGCCTTAATATATACAATTTATCTTGGAAATTTAGATTTATTTATTACTTGTAATAACCCCATTGAAAGGGTTTAGTATTTAAATTGAGTAAAGTACGTTTAACTTACTCAGGAATATTAATCGGAAAGTAACAATTTTAACGTTTATTTTGGGGCTCCGTGAATGATAGTCAACCTTTCCAAAGGCTCCTCAGCACCAAAAGTTTGAGAACCCCTGTGCTAGAAGATGGTGAGTTTTCATTTTTTCTCCACAATATTCTATCACGTGGATGTATTATACGGCGCATTGCAGTCAAGGCTAATGGATGGAGCGTCTGTGCAGTCGTGTATTTCAGACTTCTGCGATGCTGTATCTCGTATCCGGGAAACAATAAAATACGACGACACATGGAGTGCTTCTTTACGCCGCGGGCAAACAACGCAGCGTTTGATTTTGTCTGCAAAGGAATGCTGTGACATTCTGGTGAATCAAATAGGCGATCGTCTGCGCACTGAACACCTTGCCGCGTTCTCTTTGATGAACCCCAAAAATTTTTCAAAATTTGCACGTCAATTTCCCATCCATTTGTTGGCTACTGTCTCCAAATTTTACCCCATGATAAACGTGGGTAAATTGGAAAATGAATTGCGATGTATATACACCAATCAAACTTTTTTGAACATCACATTAACTTGCGCGCTCTATGGGTTCCTCATAGATAACACTCTAGTAACTACCTTTGCGGCGTCTGCAAAATTTCTGGACATCATTTTGACGACGCCTATTTCTTCCGCCGACGCAGAGCGAACATTCAGCACGCTGAAGCGTATTAAAACGTATCTCAGAAACACAATGAAGCAAGATAGATTAAATTCCTTGGCTGTTTTATCCATTCACAGAGACGTTATATCTGGGATGCATGACTTTAATCAGCGCGTTATTGAGCATTTTGCTTCCAAGAAACCGCGGCGTGTTGCATATATGTTCAAGCAGTAGAAGTCTAGCAGCATATATATCTATGAGTGAGCGACGCATGTCCTTATCTTTGCATTAACTTTCCTTTCTTCATAGTAACGTTTTAAACCTTATTATAGGTTTTGTCTGCTTTCCCGAAGTTTCTGTTAATATGTCATTGTATTTATCTGGGTAAATATTGCCTTTCCTTTTGAAAGAGGTTTCAAAATAAATTATGTCTACATTTATCAATCCCTTGACTTAGACCGGTTTTAAAGACACTTTCTTATCGTTAAAAATTGTCGCTTTTGCAGATTGGTTGTTATCGATGGAATGGTTTTTATACTCATAAAATGATGGGAGAACTTACAGCGCTCATCCTGTCCCCGTAGATGGGGGTGACTTGGCCCCGCAGTAGCTTGCCCCGGTTGTCAAAATGACCACGCGCCGCCACTGGTATAGTGGATGTTGGTGGTGGTTCAGCTGCCGAAGCCATACTTAACAATGATAATATTATTTAAAAAAACTAATTTCCGACCTTACAAATTTAATTAGATATTGAACATTGGGTGTCGCTACTCGGTAAACAGTTTTGGTTTCCGCGACTCCCCTTCCCGTTAAGCGACTAAAATTGCAAAGTATCTTTGAAAAAAGATATTCATTTGAATTTTATACGCTAAAATAGTATTTGGCGCAGGAATTACATATAGTATAGTTAGATATAGGAGGGGAATCGGTGATGTTATTCATGAAATCTAAAGACATTAGAACTAGAAAATGTGACAACGACAGCGCAGTGTGAGCAAGTTACCCAACAAAGTCCGCGTTAAGAGGAGGATTTTATTTGTAATTGCACAAATCAAGTCGTAGTCATCTTCCTATGAAATAATAAGTGTGACGCACGGCAAAAACCTTATCGGCTAGGCTACATCTAACAACGTATACATCACCTAAATTTGTAGTTCATGCACGAAGTCAATTAAAAAACTACAGCTTCAGTTTCAATTTGTTTTGAATCCATGCATGTCTCCTGGTACCGGCAGTGAAAGCACAGGCCAACCTCACAGATAGGGATGGCGGAATCGAATCCGGATTCGATTACACAATCGATTCTTCGGGGAATCGACTAGAATCGATTCCATTCCACTTCTTTACTGCGATGTTGAGTTGCTACGACGTCGCAAATTTCACTATATATATACGGTATATATATTTCGCGATTTAGTCTCCTGTGACAGATTGATGCCTATACTACTTAGTTTTGGCCTTCTTGTCCGTCCATATATTCGAACATCGCTCTCTTGTTTGATTTCATATGGTATTGCTTAGCTGTGCATGTTTTCTCGGAAAGATATGTCGTGGAATTGAGATCCGTAATCGAAAATTTAGGAATCGGATAAGAATCGAACACTCGAAAGTAATCATATTTAGCATCCTTACTTACAGACGCAAAACAATAACGCACCCGAGTAGACTTACTCTCGTTAAAGTCCATAGATACATTGCAGCGTGAATATATATATATATATATGTATATATTTTCATATTTTATTAAATAACATTGACAACATTGAATACAGTTGCTATTGGTATAATATGGGGTAGCCTACACGAGACGACTCATCCTAATTTTGATTTTAGCACAGTATACATTCACCATATTCCACATGATGATATCACCTTTCAAAAGTGTCATCCATAATATTTAGGAAATGCAATGTTTTTATGTGAATATTGTTACTTGGATAATCGTTGGCAATAAACATTTGTCCAAATGAACATATCGTAGAAGCAATTAAAAATGCACCCTGCGCCAATTCAAGTTTATCCGAAATTAACCGAGCACAGTTTGTAATAAAATATTTAACGTTATAAAGACGCCATGTTTATGAAATGACTCCCATTTCTTTTCCAACTTCAACAAAAGCTTCGACTGCTCTATCGACGTCTTCGTTGCTGTGTGATGCTGATATCTGAACACGTATCCTTGCTTTGCCAACTGGAACTACTGGATAACTGAATCCAATGACATATATGCCTGTGAAATAACATACCGATAAATGTTTAAAAAGTTTGCTGTTTCCATATTTTATTTTTTCATATTGTTTTGGTTTATGCTGGAATTTCGAAAAATTCAATTCTAAATATAAAATACAGGATTGCTGCGAACAGCAGCAATTTTGAACAGCTAGACTCAAAATTCAACCAACCTTTTTGTAATAGTTTTTCAGCCATTCCAGAAGCTAGCTTAGCATCTTCGAGAAAAACGGGACATATTGGATGATTGTTTCCTAAGATTTTGAACCCAGCTTTTACCATTTGACCTCGAAATCTGAAGCAAAACGATATTATTTTTGATAATATTTGATACATTATTAATGCTGTCATAGCATTGTACTATTTGTGTTAGCTACTTCTAATTGGTTTGCATTTTTACACAAATAAAACTTCCATTCTTCTCACCTCTCAGTTTTTAAGCTTATGTTCTCAACTAGCCCACTACTTTTCGTCAAAATGTCGAATACCCTACTTGCGCAGCCAACCACTGGAGGTGGTAAACTGTTTGAAAAAAGATAAGGACGAGATCGATTCCGAAGCAAATCGATGATAGGTTTTGGGCCAGTAGTGTATCCTCCTGAAAAAATATTGTACTGGCATTAATGATTTTTGTAGATTTTAACAGCAATTTACAAAATTATTCATCAATTACTAAATCCTAGGACAAAATCTGAAGGCAAAGATTCCAATAAGGGCAGATAATTTACATCAATCACTATTATGTTAAGCTTAGTATTAGATTAATATGTCATGCAAAAACGTACACTTTTTGACCAGCTTATTTCAGTCGTCTTGTCTTTCTTATTAACTTAATTAAAACTGAGTGGATGTTCATAATCTTTGTTATGAGTAAATTTATTCAAGTATTGCTACATGCTGATTTTTGATTTTCAAAGCGTAAGCTTTGTGTTCCCGCACCGTAGTTAATGCTACAACATACTCATATGACTACGAAATAAGTATTGTAGTCTTACCCGCTGCACCTCCCAATGCCTTGCCCAGAGTTGAGTTAATGATGGCCACACGACTCTGGACGCCAAGTAGTTCATCTGTTCCTCTAAATAGAAAAAGTAACCAAATATGACGCATTGTTGCTGACTATACTTGTTAGGGTCTCTACTTTGAAGAATATTGTGGTAATGTGTAAGGGGTTATACAAACCTTCCGGTTCCCCCCAGAAATCCAGTAGCGTGACATTCATCAATGAATACAAATGCCTTATACTTTTCTGCAAGATCACATATGTCGCGAAGTGGTGCAACATCCCCGTCCATACTGAATACACCATCAGTTGCTATCATTCTATGGCGACATTTCTAAAGTCAAAAATGGTCTTCAATACAATGCAAAAGAATTATAATAAAAGTGAGTTGTAGTGCATTCACACACAATCACTTGCGCTTTTTCTGCAAATTACTACTTCTAGCTGTATACAATTATTATAGTGTAACCCAGCGGTTCCCAAACTTCTTGTCCACGCGGTGTCAAATTATCAGAAAATAAACTCATGGTGCACTTGCACGAAAAAAAATGCTGCCTTTCACTAAAACTCAATTTTGTGATTGTTAAATGTGTACTTGAAAGCTTTTTGAGGTTTGTAAACTTGTAGGCCTAAAGGGAAATGTCAACTCTTTTTCCTCACTTCTTCCTGATTTTCGAAAACCGCTTATGTAACCTACGAAAGTGAGATTAAATTCTACCGAGAGAAACGTGTATTGATTCTTCAATACTATAACTGATCATTGTGATATGAATGCATATTGGGATTTTCTGTATACATTAAGTATGGCTACATTGTGGGAAAATGCCCAACCACCATGCAATGCCTGCAAAAAACATTAAATGCAGAGATAGAATAGCAACCATATTTAGTTTTCTTGCCTGTGCATCAATCAGTTTTTCTTCAAGATCTCTCATATCCAAATGTTTATATCTATATTTATTTGCTTTACAAAGTCGAATTCCGTCGATGATAGATGCGTGATTTAGTTCATCAGACAATATTGCGTCCTCCTGTAGAGAATAAGTATGATCAAATGTATTCAGATAACTATTTTATTTAGATACACTAGCTCAAAGTAGCTTACTATCCTATATAGATATATGTTTTAGTTACATCAGTAGTAAATTTGTTTTCTAGCTATCTCAAGTTCTGTTATTGTAGATAATATTAAATGTCGCGATATCGTAAATATTGCACAATAGTCGCTTTAGAACCGGTATTTCAATGTTAGGCTAAAATGCCTTTTTTAAGTTTAAACATTCGTTGGATCACAGCATTTGACAGTGTTGGCAAGCATTGAAAAGAAGCCTTAGTGATAAATGATGCATCTTACCGCATTCAAAACAGTTTCAAATATACCAGCATTGGCATCGAAACAACTTGCGTACAATATGGCATCTTCGCGGCCATGAAACTTTGATATTTTTTCTTCCAATTCTTTATGAATTGTCTGGGTACCACATATAAACCTGACAGAACACGAAATGATCGATACGTAAGTTCCAGTAAAGAATAGAGATCCCAACAGTGGGAAATATTGAGATCGAAAGTTATCAGATACAAAGATAAGATAATAGGCGTTTCAGTGCAACATAATTTTACAACACATCCTATTCGTATATATATACAGCGCCAATGTCACGAATAGAAAGTGACAATTTATGTACCCTATATATATGATTTCAAATTTAAATCATACAATTTTTTCGTGGCCCCCATTTTGAACTATCATGCATTTAAAATTCAATTCAAACTTATTTTGACAAAATATTATTCCGAAGAAGTATTCCTTACCTCACAGAGCTGAGCCCAGCTCCATAATCAGTCAAAGCCTTCTGCCCTGCGGCAATTACTTCGGGATGACTTGATAAACCAAGATAGTTGTTGGCACAGAAATTTAGAATCCTTCTGTCGTCGTTTTGTACCTTGACGTGAGAATCTTGGAAAATGCAAAAAAGTAAATACTAGAACAAATATTTACTGTATCTGGAACTGCGCCTAACTTGCTTCTGGTTCTACCTCGGAGTCGTTTTCGTCGGTAATAGCTCGCTCCACGCGAATTCGATATAATCATGATTACGGTTTATGTTTGCTTAATTAACGAACGCGAGGTAATTAACCGACAACCGACCGGCTGGTAAAGCTGATTACGTTCGCATCGAGGGAGCGTTTGGTCTCAAAGATGCATCTGAAGCCACCACAAGTTTTGCACCACTTTGTTCTGTGATTTATCACCAAATGTGAGTATCAATTAGTTTGATTATTTGTAGGTCCGCTATGTTGCTGCATGTGATCTATGGGTATTTTCTGATCGTATCGCCAGCTTAGCATTGACTACAATATATAATTATACACGGCCCCGATTCCTAAAAGAATTTGTATCCCTAATATAATTTGTCTAGTTTAGTTTGGACCACGGTGGTTCTGATAACAGGAATGTAACGTATTGCGATTACTGTATTGAGGAGTAGAGCTACGACTCTTAAATGTAGCTCGAATCGCAGCTTGTGAAATGACACAGACGTAGTTTATAAACTGTTTATATGTAATCTTTAAAAACTAATACAACACAATATAGCATACCTTGCTTGGTAGTTATGACTCTTTCGAATTTCCACAAACCACTTTCCCTTATATTTGACAATTCTTCATTGACTTGATCTAGTAAATTTTTCTCTCCATCTGACAGGTTTCTGACTAGACATTGACATGAAGCAAGATTATATTGGCGAAGTAATAATTGAGGAAGTTTCTGAAGTGCTGTAGCCATTTTACAACTCAACTGACAATATCTTTATATTGCAACAATCTGTCATGTAGATAAGTCAAGCTTATTTTTGTTAATAAATCGCACAAGATACACTATACTAGTATATCTGATAAATATGAGATAATGAGATTGACATAAATAACAAAACTATCCCTAAATAACTATAAATCATGAAATCTTGATCTATGAGTTTCGAAACCTAATATGTATGTGCATTTGATGTAATACCTCACCCAGAAATCTAACAAAGTACAGCTTACTGATAATAATATTATACAGCATTTATCTATCTTGACTACGTTTCTAACTGACGCAATCATATCAATACATTCAAAAACTGTAAAATCACTTGCTTTGATTGATTACAAATACTACGTATCAGCAAAGAATTTCGAACGTTGTCTTGCAATATTATGGTCTTTTAGAATTGATGATTTATGCGGTGATAACAAGCTAAGCTGATAAACAAGATAAACTGATACAAGTCACTCAAAATTCATCAGTATATAGGTACAGTACCGCGGTTAGTCTGTGTTCATTGCCCTTCGGCGTTTTATTGTTTCATGTTGGCTGGTACTGGTAATTTGATTTCAGAGCACATTGTTTGAACGCCCCCATTTCAAACGGATACGTTTAAGACACAATAGAGTGAACATAACAAATAGCAAATCGGCTTATAACATATATTGTGTGTAAGATGCCCGGTGACAGTATCATACCTATCACGACGTTATTCCAAGAAAACGATCCATTCTTACTTCGTCGTGCATAATGCACATACAGTAAATAAGGTAAAAACTATCAAGTCAATTGCTTCTAATACAAGAATTACGAGCCTGAAAAGTTGTTTTCCATCTGGAACTCCGACTTAGTGACTTTACATGAAGCTGCAAATGCGATTGCAATTTGCTGAACTGTAGGCTACGTGTACTTTGCAGTAGGCTCCATCATAGTTGTTGTGTATTGATTATATAGCTGTTCAGTTGGCACGTTTTAAACTTTTCGACCCGGAAATATTTTAACAATGTATGGATGTATGTTGTCACATAATATATCGATCGCACTCAATATCTACATTATTTCTAGCATGTTAGTTGCACGTTATACCAGAATGATGTTGTATTGCGCTTCAAGTCAATATATATATATATATGCATATTGTAAAAACATAGCTATCTAATACTACCACGCCCTAATATTTTTAAAGAAATCTTTTTCAAATCAAAGTGACGCGTCCTTACCTTAAAATAGACATGGAAAAATGCATGGATGTGTGTACTGATGAAGCCTGGATCAGTAAAAGGTGCGGTGACACGAATTAAACAGAAAAATCCGGAATGTTCAAGCTCTCATTGTGCTGTACACCGCTGTACAAGTTGCTTTCTGAACTAACCACTGTTTTCAACGACGTGATATAAATTGTTAATTCCATCAAGTCAAGACGGTGAAAAGCATACTCTTCTTATTGTCTGCGAAGATATGAGTCTCCCTTGCAATCTATTGTTGCATACAGCTGTACGCTGGATGAGCCGAGGTCAAGCTTATGCGAGAGTTTTTAAATTACGGGAGGAACTATCTGCATTTGAGAAGAAAACAAATTTAGTTCGTCTTGCAGTTTGCACAAGCAAACATGGCTGCAGTGCCTCGCTTATATGGCTGATATATTTTACAAGTTGCATGAATTTAACTTTGAAACGTGAATATCAACAATTTATCTAGCTTTCCTTCCCTTCAAAACTTTCTTGTATAAATAGAAATCTCAAAATAGATAGCCCTGTGAAAGCAATATTGTACGACATTTGTATTGAACTCCAAATTAATTTTCTTCAGTATTTTCCCAAGGAGACGTACAATTTCAATTGGATTCGTAACCCATTCAGTAATTCGGCTGTTTCGTTTACTGGCAGAACTATTGAAGATTTTATCAAACTTTTCACAAATTGTGCAAAATGAATACCCTATCCTTGCAAGAGGGCAATGAAGAAAATTTTTCTTTGCGATCATCTACTTATGTGAAACAGGGTTTTCACGGTACGTGTCCTCCAAGACAACGTACAGATGTCAGATTGGATGTCGGAGAGGAGATGTACATTCAGCTATCCACTAGTACATCTGATGTTAAACGTCTTTCCTCTGATGTGAAAGCTCATCCTAGTAAATTTCTCACGAAATTAGAGTGAATCCATTACGCAATTTTTTTTATTATCAATTTTAAGTCAACTATTGCTGAAGGGGCGCACCTCGACAAAATCCATGTGCTGTGCGTTTTGGCATATGGTGTGAAATTGGCGATACGACTGATTACTACCGATTTAACGAAGAGATTTGACGTTTTCGGTATTACTTGCCATTTGTGGGCGTGACCTAGATTCATATCACGATAGCATTTGGCAAATTCACTGCAGGAATTCCCAGCGATACCTCTCCGAGAAAATAAACGACACTAATCATTCGCAGTTTTAGGTTTCTAAGATTTTGCGTAAACTATGCCTGAATTGCGTAGGTTTTTGGCCTATAACAGCATTATCGTATTTCATTATGACGTAATAATAAATTATCTTTTTACCTAAGATACCAAATATGATGTCCTATTTTTGACTTCATATTTTTAAAATATTCAACGGTCCTCAACGAGATTTTGCTAAAGTGAAAAGAATATTGTAAATTGAGCTTTCTATTGCAGCGCACTGAGCACATGCACCTAGACATTCAGTGATGTTTCAAAGGTATCGGGATACACAGAAACCCTATGTCTTAAACTCATGCAATTTGTACTTGTTGCAACACCATGTACGTATTTATTGCTATAGTCGATGCTGGATAACTTTTTTCTTTTGAATCGTACTACGCACACTTGTTATTTATAAGTGCAAGTCTTCAGTGCCCAATCTGGCTGCGCTGATGTATTTTTTCATCAATTAAGCCCAGGCATGTTTCATTAAACCCATCCTAGGTGTCATGTTTTAATTCAACTGTTTAATTTTTTTTTGGTTTATTTTGATATCCGAAGCATTATTATTATTTTTCAAAAATAATATATACTTCAGTCGAATTAGCATTATGCTGTCTCCTGTATCAAGCTTGGTTGTGTAAATTGTTTTTGGCTTTCATTGCAATGATATTGTATTTTTCATTATTACTCTGGGCGATGACTCATGTGAGGAGTATTGTACACTCAAGATTTTTCTTTCAACAAATTTGACTGCGTGGCAAACCGCGGCGCGCGGGCTACATGCGGCTCACATTTATCCCAGGGGAAAGGGAAGCCGATGTGACGGCTTGATCATATTGCGAACCACGGCCTCTCGTCCGGTTACCAGTCAATGTCGGGTATGAAATTAGTTAGCCAGTTATTTGTCTTCACATGCATGGACATGATGGTAGAGGAAGCCGTAACTGACCATCGATCCTCTGATGCTGTCGCAGTCTTGGATCCAAACAGCACGAAGCGACTAATAGCCCAAACGTCGGTTTCACGTCGCACTGCACAGAGGCGCATCTCCCAAATTTATACCACCGTAACAGTTACAATGCAATCTGATTTAATTAGCCCTGATATTAATAATTTCAAAAATTATGCCGCTCTCACATATTTCTGACTTGATGCATGCGGCTCTTATATTAAAAAAATTTGCCACCACCTGTTCTATAGTTTCTAGTGTTCAGTGCGCTCCAAAAAGAACCGCATAACCGAATGCAGCTATTTGGATTAGAAACATGGTAATCTTTTAAGTGTGAACCAAAGATCCACGTTTTCTTAGTAAAAGATATCAATTCGTTACGTTTTTTTTCATTGAGTACAAAATTAGAAACAAATGTAGTTTATTTCTACCATTGCTTCGACCGGAATTTATCGTATTGTGTCAAGTTGTCTTGCAATACTGGTTTTCTCGGGACAGTCTCATTCCTTCAGCGAAATATTATTTTACATACATCTGTATTCTATACCGTTTCATCCATGGCTCAAGACATAAAAAGCCGATTTTGTTTATAATGCAAATACTAGCGAAAACGTGTGGGCTCAAAACCACTTTCCACGTGGCGAACAGCACCTATATTCCACAAGATGTCGCCTTTGAGCAAGAACCGACATATCAAGGTGATTACGCAAGTTTTTCAATCAGAAAAACTATGTTTATCAAATTATGTTTGATCTTCGACATCTGAGCAATTGTGATTTTTTGAGATTATGAACTTGCTTTGCAATCCAAGCAAAGTTGGGATTGATTCAGCGATAGCCTGGGTTAACAGGGCTTCGAAATCATTAGTTACCCAATCCCCTTTAACAAACATATTACACTTATCTGTATTAACATTATTAACTTATTTTCTCTGTTGTATTCGCAACAATTTAATACAAAAAATCAATTAGGAAAGAACGTTTTATATAACGGTAGTTCTAGTCGAAATTTTCTGTTGGAAATTTCATGTAATTGGACAGATGGGCAATCTCTGCTATGAAACATGCAGCAATATCTATCATTCATTATTTCTCGATTAGACTTTAGAAAGAGATTGAAAATCTGGCTGGTAAGTATTTGAACGAGTAATCAGATTTCATCTCGAATATCTGTCATCTCCAGTATCTACGTTACTGACCTGTATATCCACCTTTCGTCTCTTTTTATTCACTTACATAGCCATTATACTTTTGGTCAAAAAAAGAGATTTATAACTATAAAATGTATACCTACGATTGGTTATGTTCAACTAGTTTTGATTTTTATTCGTCGAAAACGTTGGTTTGGGTTATTAGACACAAATGACAACTGTTATACTAATACCCGATTGCGTTTACCACATGTAGTCCGTACGTAAATATACCGATTTCAGTGTTATGTCTATATCAGTGGTTCTCAAACTTTTCAAGTCGCGCCCCTTTTTTAGAATTTGCGTCCCACCTCAAAAATAACTAGCTAACAGTGAGCTACAAATAACAGATAGTGAAGCGAAATTAATTGTCTACGCCTCCCTTCCCCTTGTGTGGCGCTCCCCACCGTTTGATAACGACTGGTCTAGATAAGTGGGCGTTAAGTGTGGGGCAAATGATAACCATATGAATAGTAACTATGCGAAAGTATACCTGTCAACTCTCTGCATTCTGGGTCAAATCTAGCATCACTGGAACAGTTTTTCAATCAGACTTTAAAGTTTAAACGTTCTGAATAAGTTCACAGGGTCAGGGCGTGAGACGTCGCTCTCGTGGTTAGGAGCGCTCATTGCCTCACGATTCTCGACCACACATGTTACTCTTGTTAGTACTAGTAATTTACAAATTACTAAATAATATGACTGTATAGTGGCTAGTAGGAAGATAAAAATAATAATCTGGAGTAGATGTGACATTTTTCTTGAAAAAAGTTTGCAAACAAAACCCTATATTATTCAATGGTTGAGCTTTCAAAAAAAAAAAACAGATTTCACCCAAAGCGATACAATGACTTATATTTAGGATGTTTAAGTTATCTTGAGCTTGTCACGATAAATTTAGTTTTATTCTATAAATTATCAAGTAACGTAACCAATTATATCATTTCATTATTTAGTAACGAAACTTATTTAAGAGGACAAAACGAAGTGATATAGGCCGCATGTGAAAGTATCAAATTAAAAAACTCATTGTTCGAAAATTTCTGCCAGAAAAAGGGTGCATAAACGGTAATAACAGGAAGGTAGAATGTTTGTCCCACGATATACTGTTTTCATAACCGCGCAAGTTCATCATTTCGTCATATTAATCTAGTTTGCTATGAATGGTATGTCCTGGAATTATCAACAAGATTACCAGTCTATTAAATGCCCACGATGTTAGTGTCTATCTCCAGTTTTCAGAATGATGGGAGAAATCTGAAAAAGTAAGCGCTTTTATTCGCAAAAACGTGAAACAGATCACGATCTCCTTGTCCAAACCACCGAACGTAAATCAATGACGTATTGCTATAAAAGCATACCAACTGATATGTTTTTATACAGCTTTTTATTCATTTATTATGGTTGTTCAAAGTGCTGAAGTTGTGATTTTTCAGTTTTAAATCCATTGCAATCCTGAAATAAAGGCATGTAAAAAGTATTTTGATTCCGACTAGCAAAGACTAATTTACTGCACTCGTTAAATTTTGTTTTTATTCAGGGGTTTTTTATATTATGAAATGAACTTCTAACTAATGAAGATCAGTCAGAGTCAGTAATCAGTAATTTATTCCTTCACCATGTTGAAAATGCGAGCTATTCATACACAAATCAAAGGGAATTATAAAAAATTCGCATTCCAGGGTGAAAGAAGACGCCGAAACCAATACTGGTTATCGAGCGGCGGCACCTTGGGAAGTCTAACAGAAACGCGATAAATAAAATAAAATCGAACTAAAAGCCATACGAATCTTGATTTGCCCTCTAGCACTCACTCTAGTCCCTCATATTGAAATGCGCGATGCTTTGAGTGTTCATTTACTTTACCATGGGGGTATATTTGGTCTGGTGTTGAACACAGTTTAGTGCAAAAATTTCAAACTTTCAAATTTCCTAGAAAAGTCGTGCCACAAACAAATCAGCTTCGAAGAAGCTTCACAAAATGGCTGATGTTGAAATGTATCGGTAACGAGAAATTGTGGTAGGTATCTGCCAGTTAGAAGGATTACCTTGTGTTGGTTTTGATTTTTATCTCATGCCCAATGACCTCAGAAAATACGAAATTAATAAATTATATTCTGTTTTAAGTAAAATTGTATTAATATCATCATATACATTGTCTACAGTTTTGATATCTAGACGGATTTACTTGAAGAGAATGTTTTTAAAAAATATTTATTGAATTGTGCTTTACCTACCTTCCTTTCCTAATAAAACTCCTGACATACGATATTATCAATAAACGAATACACAAAACGTTACTGGGTCTATTTATTCTGGAAATTACTTGGAATGCTATATAAAAGCATGCCTAAATACTTTTATACTGGGTGTAGCACTTAGTGAAGTTTAGTGAATAAACCGTGACAGCAACAGTCAGGAACCGAATATTGATCTGCAAATTCTTTTGCCAATTCGTTCAGATTATTTTTAATACTAATAAAATATCGAAATCGTCCCGTTTGCAAAGAATGGGCCTTTACATATTCTCGTCGATAGCCAGGCCTTCTTAAGTGACCAAATACACGTACACGTACCGCCGATTTGTATTGGAAGATTTTGTAGGGATTGAAGGATTGAAAAAAAAATAGTTTAGGAACGGTTGTTGTTTTAGTAATACATATTACGTTTTGGCACAACGAGGGCCTCCCTGTATATTGTCGAACTCCCCAGTCATATTTAAAAAATGCATTGCGTACGTGATCTTGACCATTCGTGCTTCGTTAGCCCAATCTTTTTACAGTTGAAATGATCGCAGGTAATTTGTTTTTGGTTCAAATAAAATTTATATCTTGGTTTTTTGTTATTTTGACAATTAGTCAGTAATCTTAAAAATATATCTCTATCCCGGTAGCGACTATACCGCGAGGCATTTTGTTTGTTTAGTGTATACATCGTACTAAAACAAGGCGCTGAAGAGAAAGTATCTTTTCCGTGAAATGTTTAATAATTCTTCCGTATTCTAGCCGGTGTGGTATATAAGATAAGAACTTGGTTGGTGAATATGCCACTCATAACATCTATTATTAGGAACATTCCGCCACGGATATTATAAACTGTCCTAATGTATTTTAGTGTAGTTTATAATATCAACGATATAGTATTAACACACCCTTACTTAGACTAGTTCATGTGCTATTTTAAAATTCTCATAACTATATTACAGTCTAGTTCAGGGATGGGCAAACTAAAGCCCGCGGGACGCAGCGCCCGCCAAAGCATTTTGTGCGGCCCCTTGCTCTTGGAGAAATTTGTGAAAATTTCTTGCAATCGCATGCAAAATTTATATTTATTTTTAAACTTTATTTAAAATCTAAACTATGAATTGTTAAAATAATTTAATGCCTTTTTTCATCTCCGGTTCAAGAATGTCAGCCACCATTACATTTGACACCATCATAAAGTTAAATACCTATATATGATATGGTCTTTTGAAAAGTGCGGCCCTTTGCAAAAAGACTCTTCGAATGCGGTAGTACTACTAAGACTCTTGCAAAAATTACTTGCCAACCCCCTGGTATAGATAAAGGATTCGGAAAAGATAACCGCTTAGGTTCCTGAAAATTAGCGTCACCAAGCGAATGTTGAAGCAAGGCGACAAATTAACCAAATAACCTACTGATTTTGAAATGATAAAGTACTTTCGGATGTTCGTGTTTGCACGCTTTTATGACGAGTCAATAATCATTATTAAAATTTATTTGTGCCTTGAAAATATTACTACTCCACATATGATATGACGGAAATTTCAGTCAATTTGTACAACGAATACTTCCAATCTGCACATACAAGGGATTATCTAAGATCAATGCGGTTATTTTAGCTCTCTCACCATCGTCCGTTTCTCTCGTTATATCCGCCAAATCGGACGAAGAGTAAATGACACCGGTGCCCTTTACTTTAAATTATCATTATTTAGTTATAGTAACAGTAATTCCATTTTGCTTATCGCGACTCTGTCGCATTTATTTAGAACAGAAGCTCTTTATGTTCGGTTTATACAGATCACGCATCATAATCTGCCTCTCTGGAGTAATGACCTAATGATCGTTTGGTCTGCCGATCCTATATTACTATTTACATTCAAAACACGAGAGCTAATTTGAAGACGTAAAAGTTACATTTGCTCTTCGGCGCAGCGACTCTGATTGACTGACATCAACAACCAGGCTGTTTAAATAATGCTGACAAGGCGTATGCAAACATTTAGAGATTTGTTAGCGACTGACGAACTAATACCCTCACGTATATGTTCAATCCAGACATCCATTTTAATTTTTATTTGTCATCGTGTAATTCGGAATTTTATCGAAGGAAATGGATAAGAAGAATATTTCAAAAAAATAATAATATTAATAATAATAAAAAAGCAAACAAAATAATGATCGTGCAATTAAAATATAATAAACAAACAAGCAACCTTTCAGGCTGGAAATAATTTATAATTGGATTATTCATGGCCAAGTAAGGTCAAAAAATAATCAACAGTAAATACGATTTCGACCAGTCAATTGATCATCATCATAAGCATAATACCTCAAGCTGTAGAATTAATCTCCAGTGATAAATATGGAAGCGGTGAAAGTAATGAAAATATGTCGGTTTTTGTAAATAGATCGTCAATATGTCAAATCTTTATGAGATATACTCGAATGTTTGTGTGTCGTCGCATCATAATGATATAAGAAATGTGAAAGAAATTAAGCACTCTATAAGTATTGGATTTTTCAGTAAAGTTTGATGGACCCCTTTATGATTAATTACCCACTATGTAAAAAAACTCAATTTTTTTCTGAAATAAATAAATTATGTAGTGAATTTACACCAACTATATTAGCGCACACCACTCACATAACTAAGCATTCAATTAAAATACAACTGCTTTGTTGATTCAAACAATCCCCATAGTGGTACGATCGAATATAGGCCCAGAGGTAATAGTAACTTCCTCCGTTAACTATCATAACTTGAAACTTGCTTGACGCAAAATACACTTTTTGCAAAGGGGCCTAGCGATCTATTCATTTTGACTCTCAAAAATCTCATTTTTCGGCTAATTTTATGAGTTTTGTCTAAGATTTTCTACTGCCATTTGTCTCCGAATCTCAAGCAATGCTGAATTCATCCTTGACATTCTCTTGTCGATGTTATTTTTGGCTTCACGAATTCCACAATCGAATGCTTTCATGTTTTTTTCTCGCTCTCCGTCTTATGTTTTGCAAACATTTCATTATCTTCCCGATTTTTCATTTATAGTTTCACTCGGTTGCATCTTCCTCATTTCTCTTGCTTCATCGCTGAAAGACAAAAAAGTGAAATTTTTATATCATAGATGTAACTTTTATTAAAAAACATGCTGGGTAATGATAGTGTGAGTATGGCGATTGCATTTATTAAAAGAACTAATTTTTCATCCCAAGAAATCGATAATAGACAACAAGGTATTTTCGGAAAGGTTCTATTAAAATACTGTACTCCCTATTGTTGCTTTCGAATGTCGTAATTTTCTATTTAATCAAATTCAAAACGAATTAATCGATTAGTGTTTTCAAGTTGAACTTTTAACTCGTTTGGTCTTTATTTATTTACTTTAGACAGGAATGAAATATAGTCATTCAATCGAAAGCATTAGCGACATAATGTCACAATTTTCATTGGTAGACGGTCATGATAAGAAAATATAGGTATGTAAAAGAGTTTGATGTTTATAACGGTGAATACAAGCGAACGCAATCAGATATTCAGTGTCGAAAGTGTACAATGTAAAACAAGAACCCTCCCGGTCAAAAACTACTGTCAATGACAGCATGGTCATTGTATATTGTCATATAATTCATTTTGCGCATGGCATGACTACATACCTACTTTACACTGTTTCACTTAAGCTTGTATTAAAATTACATAAATGGTAAATTTTCAATTAGTCTTGGAATATTTACAATACATCTCGATTGGTAAACTATTTACTACAGTGGGACCATTTTGTCAATTGACAAATTAATTTTACGTTATCTTGACATAAACAATAAATTATAGTTTCATTTATTCTCGATTTGATCGTATTTTGCTGAATTTTAAATTTTTCTGTTAAACGATTTGTTTACATCTAAAATGACAGTATTTGATTTTATCAATGATTGTCGTTCCTGATCTAGTTAAAGGCTTTGTTTTATGAATCAGTCACACAACGATTCAAGTAACTAAGAATTCTCGAATTTATGAATAGATGTTTTTAATGGTTAGATGCGCTCGGAAATCAATTTTCAACTACTTTCGTATATAAAGTACATTAGTATTGTTCAATAGAATAGTTATTGTTACTAGAAAAACTGAAGTACATATGCTCAAATTGATGAATGTTAGTCTGAAATAATTAAAACATAAAATGAGTTAAATGGCCCATGGTAGATGATACTTCAAAATTTCAAAAACTGAGAATTGTCATCTTAGACCTCGCCAAGACCTTGAACTGCTTTTCAACAAATAATTTTACACGGGTGCGCGGAGTGAGGTTGAGGACTAATGTCGATTTTTCCCTGGGTTGATGGGTCATGTTGCAAATAAAGGAGAAATAACTGACTATATAACGAAGCAATTCGGTAGATCGCTATATGATAAACATCTGGACCTGATGATCATCTCAGATGAACTATCATATCTAGGGACAGAGTGCAGTGAACTTTTCTGTCTGTGTTAAATAAGGAAAAAACAGTCGGTTTTCCGATTAAGTATCATTTTTTAGGTACAATTTTTATAGCTTTAAAGGGAACGAATGGAATCTAACACGTCATAACGACGAGCTAATCATCTTGAGAAGGCCATATTTGCTTTCTATTCCTAATATTATATTAGGAATTAAAAATACTCTAGCAATCGTAGGTAGACGTAAATAGGCAACGTGTGTCGAAATATTTGAAAAAAAAAATCAACGAGGCTATATCTGAGTTTTACATCACCGTAATAAATAGCATAAAATCGCGATCTAAGATTATGTATCTTATTGTATATGCCGTATTGCATGACTAAACCATATGTAGCAACCGGTATATCTATTTTGTATAAATATTAAAGATTGTATCGCACATAAGCTCCCATAAATGAGAAGAATATCAAATATAATGACTTAGAAAAATAAACATGCAAATTAAACTGGGGACCGGAACGACTATTTCCAGATTTAACTTGTTTTATTGGCAACACAAATGTAAGTACACTTTAGGAAACTAGGAAATTCTTAAACGTTTGTTGTACGAACGGGTAGTCGAAAATAAAATGGCGACGGCGTGGGGATTTACTTGTTCGGTTAATGCAGTTTAATATTATTTAGGCGAACAAACGTGAGCCATTGATTATGTAGCTGGTAATCATATTTTTGGTTGCCCTAATGTAGGCAACACAACAGAGAAAGCAGCAGTGCTGTTGACTAATTTTGCTGTTTAAGGTATAGTTGTGTTTACTGGATATAACCCAATCGAATTTTGATCTAAAATGCCAAAAACAATGAACTTAATTCAATAAATTTTGAAATTGATTTCATTATTTCAAGTAAATGACGTCATTTTGGATGCAATTACAAACGATTACGTAGCAGATTTACTGTGTCGTATTATATTGTAGCGAATTGCCACATAAGACGAAATACCTTCCCCTTCCAAATATGAAAAATTTAGGCGCGGGATAGGTCAAATGAATCACTGAAAATCATTTCGTAGAAATTACCGACTCCATATTTCCCATGCTTATTAAACAATATAAGAATATTATTTCTATAAGAATATCAATATATTATAAATAATATCTCTCGTATTTATGGGTTCAAGTGCCAATGCTAATAACAAATATGTAGACGTCTGGTAGCGTGTTTACAAAGTTTTATATCAAAATAAAAGCATTTTTTATAGAAAGACTAAAATGATGTATACTGACTTCGATTTGTTTGACCGGAAATTTAAATAGGGCAAATGATATAATAGTTAATTCACAACATTCTCGAGTATTATTCATCAAGTATGATTCATATTTAAATCACTCAAGCGTTTTATATTTTTATATCAAGCGTGATAATTTGATAAGCTTGGTAAAAATCAGATTAGGAATATTTGTTCTGAAGTTATTTCGATTCGAATTTTTTTTTTCGAAAAGCGCAAATACCATTGATACATTGATAAAAACAGGAAAACTTGAGAAAATACTAGTGTGTCGAATAGGTTTTATAAATAGGTTATCGAAAAATGTATTATTTGCCAACTTTTACTAGCGCCCTTCAAGGTTCCATTGAAGTGAAGTTTGAAAAGAATCCCGTATTTTATGCAAATTGTATTCAAATTGATTGTATTAGTAGAAATTAATTTATATCCTAAATGTTATTTACAAAATTGGCCATACAGAATTGTTATCCTATATCAAATGGTAGGTTTTTCAGTAAGTTACTGATATTTTGCAATTAGGGGTTTATAAAAAATCCCAACATGCCACAGCATAAATTTGGCTTCAATATAACAGACCAAAGGCGCCATTTAAGTTATCTTTGTCGTCAGCGAGGTTTCTATGACACGTCTGTTTATGTCTAACTCAGATATAGTTAGTTATTATTTGTAAACAATTCTTTTGTGTCGAATTTTGAGATACAATATTGCCCGGTCAGGTAAAAATCTACAAAATATAATACCACTTCCAAGGTTGGGCCGTGGTTAACATACCGTGATGTTCAATGTTATACATCTTTGATCATACCAGACTGTGCTTGATTTGAAATAATTTTAAGTAAATAATTATGGTGTCAAATGATGTCAACTAACTGATTGATACTAATCACATAATAAAACAAGGGATTTTGCCAAATTGGGGGTCGTGTCGCTATAATGTGACACGCCACGGCCTTGGGCCAATCGAGATGACAATGGCGTTCCAAAAAGTGAAAAAGTCAAATCACACCTCAAATCTTTTGTTTCTAAGTATCAATCGTGTTAAATATATTTTTATGCATTAAATAAGTAGATATGGCACTTTCAGACAAAACAAAACTAGACAAAAATAATCTATTGATCGACTGATGTTTAATACAAGGTATCAAAAACTCCAATATTTCACGGCGAAGCATGATGTAGGCGCCGGTAGGCTCAGTTACAGTCGCTGGTCATGGCGCCAATTTAGGCTACCCACTTTTGTTTCTATAAAGCCAGAAAATTTCATATCATAAAAAGTTTCCGGATTAAATGAGAAGTCGCGTGTCAAAGCTTAAAAATTATTATAAATGGAGCGTATCGAATTACAAAGCACTACACTGTGTTTGATTACATTGTGGATTTACTGAAGGATTTTGATGCGAATTATATTTTCCGATTTCTAAAACACACAAAATTCTACTATTTGGATATCATAAAACCATTTCAACAAATAGTTTTGAAAATATTAAGAACCGCTACGGATAAACATAATTTTATTTACATATATCATTGAAGGTAATATTTTTATATTGGGCTCATGAAAGTAAAAATGTCGTTTAAGTATTTTTATTGCAAACTTGAAATTGGTTAGTGTCGGTGCTAAGCATGTATAAAAAGACTTAGAATTGAGGTAAAAATTAATAATTAAATTCTGCTGCATAAAGATCAGCTTGTCCACGAAAGCAGGTTCACTTAATCTCTTAATTAAAGGTTCAACAGCAAATAGCCATTTAAAAAATATGGGTATTGCAAAAAAAAAACGTAATCAAAATAGCAGTTTTTCAATGTTAAGTATCATATCTGCACCGAAAATGTCAATATCGAATTTGACCAGACGGCGCCGCTGATGTGACAATGTCGTCACAAGTGCGACAAATTAATGACATTTTCATATACAGTTGCGGTCGCCATTACCCCGCATTCTTTTATGATCTACCTGTCGGTTTTTTGTCTGGAAGCGGCAATTATTTGATTGCGTTACTCATATAAAACACAATCGTTTACTCTTTAATCAAGAAATGATTATTACCGGTAATATTTATTGTCAACAGCAGACTTAATGTCGCTAGCTAATGGGTGCAAATTAGCAAGTAACTTGCGATAATTTGGTTGAATACATTATTCGTTCGTTTCCTAAACGATCGCGGAACAACTTTTTGGTGATGTCATACTTTAATTGTTATGCTTTAAGTCTATCACTTCCATGTCAGAATCCACAATAAAGCCCAGTATCAAATATTTAAGAAAAAATATGTACAGTTAACGTAAAATACTTACTCCGAGGGAATGCTGCAGCTGTAACTTCCTCCATCACGCGAATGTATTCCTACAAAAAGAGAGAATATATTTGAATAATAGACAATTATATTTTGATGTAATTACCTCAAATGACTATTGATATTGTAGAAATAATATACATAAATATACATTCAGTACCTGTTGTAATTGGTCTTGGTGAATGTGATGTGGCGGATTTGTTTGAGGTTGGATCCAGGCTGTCGTAGTTTGTTGGTCTGTGCGACAAAGGATATTCTGCATGGGGTGGGTTCCCGAGAAACGACTGTGACTGTGAGGCACTGCTTCCAAATTTGCATTGGCTTGCGTACGGCGGAGGTGGAACGCTTGATCTTGTCGGTGTTGCAGATGTGTCATCTGATGTATCATAGTAAGGCATGTTTTGACAAGTGGATGGACGTCGTTCCGATATTTTAGAGGTGTTTGGCTGACATGGTGAAGGACTGGTGTGACAATGTTGGGGCGCACCAAGCACATTTGACGCTGCCGAACTTGAACTTCCAGATGCGGCAACAAATGATTCTTGTGTTGTTGAACTATTTGGACGAACTCGTGATGGATCAGAACTGTTAGATGTGCTGAGAAGAGAGTGGTTTGATGTATCTGACTGATGACTGTAGTATGTTGTACCGGGGTGTTGATTGACGTCAGTAATACTTTGGGGTGGATATGTACCTGCCATATCATTACCAACTGGTTCGTGATAATAATTATTATATGGTGCAGGCAACGATCGGTGTTGCAACATATAGGAATCTCCCATTGTGTCATCTGTGGAGTGAGAATGGTTTGGGTGCATATATCGTTGATTATACTGAGAATGATCTGAAAATTGACCTGATTCTTCTGGTGTCATTCCTGCATCTGTCCCTGATGGTGATTTCTTTTCGCACATACCAGAAGCTTGGTGATGCGGTCCATGGAATACTCCGTTAACCCAATTTCGGAGATTGGTTACAGGCGATGTATAAGGATATTGGTTTCGTTGTACCGCATCCGTCTGACCAATATCGCCTTCTCGTGCTCCAACTGAACTGTTGCATTGTTTACTTACACTTTCACATGACAACGGTGAATACATCTTTCCAGCCATGTGGGGTGCCGTCGTAGAAGAGTGATGATGAAGTGGAAGACTATCCTGCACATTTTGAGGCATGCCTTGATGTGTCATGGGTTGCATTTCAAAATTGGAAGAGTATGGTTGAGGAAGTGAGGACGACATTCGTCGTCCAGATAAGCCGTTGATTTCATGATTATAAGATCCTTGATACGAATATTCGGAACTGTAGCCGCTAATGTAAGGGCGAGCTAAATTCATATTCTTTTGTGGGTGCGAGTCTATTGGTGACCAAATTGGGCGATTATAGCTATCATGGCTGCCGCTTTCGTACCTTGCAAGGGCGCCTTGTTGGCCCATTCCAGGTAATTTATCTCCCAGTGCTGCACTAGCATTTCCAGCATGTAAGGATGGACGATCATAGTCTAAACTGGGTTTTGATTCCACAGAATCTGACACCATTGAATCAGTTGGACAATTGTCCTCAGCAGTGATAGGTTGACGCGGGAAGTGCAGAGAGGATGAATTTTGCTGATCATATTGGCATGATGGATTGGATTCAGAATTGCCTTCAAGTTTCATGTCGGTTGGTTGTTCGTCATCGTCTTTTACCGATTTGCAATCTATAACAAAAGTAAAAAAAAAATAGATCAGTATACGATCTTGCGATAATAAAAGCATGAAAATTATCAGCAGTATAAGGTTTGAAAATTTTGTTGCTACCATCTACCGTGGGACATGTCGAATAAACTTACATCTATTATCTTGCTAAGGCTACCAAGTAATTTCAAATCCATGACGAATCCAAATTAAAACGGCTGTTTTTAAAGGGCGCGATAATTCAATTTGAACGGATATTATGACATTCTACCAGAAAACCTACCGAAAAATTTCCCACGTAATAGTTCTGTCATTTTGGTTTGGCCCTATTCATTTCTCAGGCTATTTACTAATGTATTAAGGTTGCTTTAGTTGTGGTTTGATTAGAAGACTTTATCTCAGGCAAGTGGGGGGACGGCAGGCAAGAAAGACTTATCACGGGCACCATATGGCCTCGATAGAATGCGCGCAAATTTTAAACAAAACGTATCAGATGCAGTATACATTATTAATTAGAATTTAGATGGTGTCGATTATATCACTTTATTACACATTGCCTATTTTTGACTTATGGATTCAAATCTTCGTTATTATCTTAACTCAATGTGTCAAGACTCCGATATTCCCAGTCGCTACTTTTAACTGAAAATACATTCGAGTGATCTTATGCGCAAAAAGCAATCTCATATGAAATATCATATACTATTGCGACATAGATGTGGTATGGGGCTCCATTGATCGACTCCATTTGAAACCAATTATAAAACGTAATGTATATTTATGTTTACCGACTTGAATTATCGTTTGTCTCAGACGCCAAAACACACACTGCGACATCGTCCTATATGTAAGTATATTTTACTCGAGTTCAGAATACTTATTCTTTGGGGCTTGAGAATGAAACTTGCCTTCATCGTCTGATTTTTCATCAGTGTCTTTGTCGTCACTTTGCCTTCTGTCTTCATTGCCTGAGCCTGACTCATTTGCTCTATTTTTTGGAATCCACGTCATTTTGTTTTCTTTCTTCAAACGCCTTCGAGCGTTAGCAAACCACGTTGATACCTGTAATACATGTCAGTTTATAAGTGACAGTGCATTTAGACAATCATCAGATATACGCTTCTAAAATACACCATTCACAAATTAATAAGTAAAGATGATTTGACTTAAATATTTAAAAATATGAAAAACTGAAAAGTGTCGACTTATCATTTTTATTTTAATATTTTACCAAGGTTTAATTGGGCCTTAAAATAATTTGAAAAATCTTTGGTGAAAAAACCCCCAGAAATAAACCTTGATATTAAGAATTTAAATGTGTTATACTCTTTAAATTTTGGACAAACCTGTGTCAAAGTCATTTTTGTTATGATTGCCAACATAATTTTTTCGCCTTTCGTTGGGTATGGATTCTTTTTATGTTCTTGTAACCAAGCTTTCAAAGTGTTTGTCGATTCGCGGGTTGCGTTTTTCCGCCGTACACCATCGTTCATATCCATGCCACAGTATCTGAAAATAATGAAACACGATAAATGACTTCTTAATGTCGTGGTGGAACACCCGCCCTCGTACAGGTTGGTCTTCTTATCTTAGTTAAATATATGGTCAAGAACAATGGTGAATCGTTTACCAGATCTCGTGGCACATGCTATTGTGTACAAATTGCAAATTTCTTCCATTCAATTACAGAATATAAAAAAGTTGTGAATAATGAGATGATTCCTAAAGATGAAATACTTTATTTCTCTGACCCGAGTCTATTTCCAATTGGTGTAAATTTTAATAAAGCAAAGTTGACTTGGGCATATGACATTTGATATATAAATACAACGAAATGGTACGTGTATAACAACGATCAGGGTCGAGACAGTAGGCGACGAATCGATGACAATAATCTGTCGGGGATAAATATCATGAATAGCATGTAAAACCTTTCAATTTACAACCTAATATTTCCCTTTTGCATTTCCTGTTCTAGAAAACCAAAAATTTTCACACATCATATTTTTATCGTTCTATTTATGAGAAGCTTTTAAATTTTTGTCACATGCAATACGCAAACTACGTCAGATATTGTTATTTTCTGCCATGTCTACAGCGATCATTGTAAAAAACATATATTAACATATAGTAATAATACAGGAATTGTAGAAATGTTACAGATTTATTGTTTGACGGCATATGAAGTAGGATTGATGTCTTTAGTTGTATGTTCCGATCATTGCAAACTGGAACAAACATACGGCATGAATGTAACATATAAACTGAATACCACAAATTATCAGTTTAGCGATCTTATGAATCGCATATAACCGCGATATTTCATGCATTGTATATTTGGGAGTATTTTATCTACATGAAGACAATAATCCCACAAAACTTGCTGACGACCTTGAAATTTGAAATTCCATCGTATATATTTAATATTCACTACAATAGATTTTTGTAAATTTGAACATCAATTTTGTAGTAGATCGTGGGTTAATATGTCAGCTATGAGCTATTGTTTCAGAATCTAATTTGTAATCTTGATAGCGGATAAACAAAAATTTTAAATCTTTTGACGGCTTCTGTAATTTAGATTAGATTTGAATTTACATTCAATTAATCTGGTCATCTCTTACCAAGCTTTTTACGACACAAAATTCAGTCGGTAAAATTCAGTCCGTTTCATAATTCGCCATTTTACATTCCGCCCATGGGCAAATGAAATATATTGTTAAATGGCATTAACTGGCGACAGCCAAGTTAGATTTTTCATATGCCCAAACCAATAAACATTATCCTTATTAGTTCATTGCCTAGTAATGCAGAATGTGGAAATAATGTCGGATGTGGAAATAAATGCAAACGGCTCTGAATTTCAGGTGGAAAGTTGATTATTTTCAAATTTAAATGGTGGTAAAATCCAATATTGTAAAAAAATATATTATTGTTTTTATCAAATGAATACCCTTCAAATCAATATTAAATATTTTTCTCTCCTTATGAAGTAACAATGCAAGTTTAGAATCCTTTTTTGTTCGAATTTTGCCAGTGTACAGTTCTATTATTTTCGTCAACATCAAAATACAATTGAGTTTGGCCAACTATGCATTATCATTTCAGGGACTCACCTATCATCTAGTTAAAGATAGCGAGCAACTAAAATATACCAACCAAAATTATAGCGAATAAATAAACTTGTAACTGCAATACCAGAAGTTTTTTAGGCTTTAAGAAAGGCTGAGATTAAAGGGTATGTTTTATGACATCCAGAATCTGAATGTATATCTTTGTTATATCACCAAGCACAAGATTGTGTTTTACCTTTCGTACGGATACTGCGGTCCAAATCCTGTATCATATTGATAATATGTTGGAGCAGGCTGATTGTATCCACCGCTCCACATGTCACCCTTCATATCATATCCAGATCCCTAGAAATACAAAATAAAATTATGAGTGAATTATTGCAAAACACTCATGGTTTAGAATCTATATATTTGTTACAACTTTGTATTGCTAGATACTGGTAAGTTTCTGTTCATAAATCTATAGTTCTACAATCAGGATTAATTTCAACGTTTTGTTGAATTGAAAGCAACTATCAAATTTCTTCATCAAATACCTTTATAGTCATGATCACAAATAAGTTTTGAAAACATAAAAATTAATTTGAAAAGGAAATTTGAAATCGTGTTTGCTTGCTCATCGTGAATCGCGTAATGCGATGCTAAACTTTACGAAAAACAAAAGTGAATTGTTGCCACTTAATTCATTACCTTCAAATAGTTCCTCGACAAATTAAAAAAAAAAATAAAATAAATATTTTCTTGTATGTTCAGAGTTATACATTTAATTAAAATAACGATAGATTTCAAAACAAAACAGAATTTTTTGTTTTTGGCAATGGCCATCTCTTATTTGATATCCAAACTAAAATGGCGGCCCGATGACATTTTATCGTTGTGTAAGAACGGATAAGATTCAATCAATATTTTCAGCTTTGATAGTGTATATATGTATAAACTTTGTATTAAATATGACGACTGGGTATATTAGTTATAAAGAGTATGAAAATATTAGGAACTCAATATGAACATATGTTTTTACCTTTTAGGTATTATATACTATTCTATGAGATTGGGGGATAAATTCTAAAAATGTAGAGTTTGCATTCATCTAAATGTCTATAAAATGAATATGACAAAATATGTCGAATGTGACGTCAAAATGCTAAATGGGTTTTCATGTACAACGTTAGTACATGTTTACCCATGTTACCACTCCCTTTTACATGATAACAAACATATTTAAGAATAAGAAATCAAAAAAGCAAACCCACCAGCGGCGTGTAATATGGTGAAGGATCAATTGCAGGAGAGCCGTAATGTGGTGGAACGATGCTGTGTGTTGGTGCGGAAGCTGCAGCGTAACTTGCCGGTGAATTGAGAGCCGATGAGCCGGGTTGACCGGTCACTACCGCCGCCGCGGCGTACATGTGAAACCCCGGAATATCGGACTGCATTTTTGGCGCAAACATTCGACCATCAGCCGATGGGCATTGATACACCGGTCGACTTCCTGCGCTTCCTGGAGAGTTTTCTACGCTTCCAGGGGTTGCAGGCACGGGGTTACTTGAGTAAATTGCAGAGGCGGAAAAGTACTTGTCTTTTACAGTATTGGTGTTAGATCCCAAGTTCAACTGAGAAGGAATTAACATCATAGATATATTTCCCAAGTATACAACACTTCTCTAATAACTAGATACTAGAAGCATTGATATATAATCTGTAAATGAGATATTATATATCTTGTAAGTTTTTCAAGTTCAGTAAATAAATTGCCTTATACAATAATCTCAATCCTTTCAGCTAGACATTACACCTTGATCTGACTATTTTATCGTTCCTGCTCGCACTTCAGCTTGGTACCAATCACATTGCATATACCTCTGCAGGAAAACTGAGTTATGTTGCAAAATTATAATAGCCTATTAATATTTTAGTTCATATCTGATACACCACTCTCAACAACGAATTTTGCAAGTTATCGGCATCAGGATTTAAAAGTGATGAGAGAGGATAAAACCAAACAAATGAACGAGAGACGAAAAACCGTGCGGAAGAGAGAAAAAATATTCAGCTCATTTATGACTGACGCGTTCGCTATTCGTAAGCGGTGCTCTCTTGTTTGGCAGTAGCTCAAATACCGCATGAGATCTTGCTTGACTCAAATTCACTCTACAATTTATCAGGTATTTACAACTTTAAATTATGGCAGAAACAAAATGATCTCTATAATACTGTCATGACATAAAGTTAAAATTTCATAAAATTTGATATTATCGAAATGCATTACAAAAACTGAGAAATTTGGAAAACTTTTGCATCTGAGGTTTGAGAGCCAGCGTGCTTCTTCGAACTATTTAACGTTCAAATAACAGTGTCCAAGACTTCATCAATAATAATTATACCGTTGTTTATTAATCACAAAAACGTATTTATTTCAATTGTTGCCATAACACCCCGTGAAATGTTTGTAGTCAAAATTACAACTCAACGTAAATTTCATTGATACTTCATTGGCCAAATTCAAATACTCACACATACAAGCAGGTGGATCTTTGAAAAGACCGAATTACTGTGAATTCACGTTCAATTCTCTCTTTTCATCAAACTGCACCAATCGTAGTTCTTTTTTGTATTAGTGTTACATAGAAAACATGCTATATATATTAGAGTGACCGCAATAGGAAGCAATAATTGTCAAACTAATTTTTACATCATTTATAACTAAAGTAAAAAAGCATTGTTCGTATAGTTTTTAATCTAAATATGATATACCACAAAAATGAATTACTTTTACACAACTCCTACTTTGATACTTGCGAACAGAATATGTTTTTAAAATTGTTAAGTAAGCACGCACCGACTCAAAATAAGACATCAACACACGACATATAGTTTCCTGAAATATACTTCTAACTATGATTGGAAACTGAAACTCCTAATAAATAAGACCTGTTTACCAGTTAGTTTATTTAACTTTCCACGCACCGCACTGTTGTTTAGCGAGCGAAAACATTCATTGACGATTTATAAGTTCCGGAAGTTTTCGAGGTAACGCGAAGTTAGTGGAAAAGTCAATCGAACTGCCGAACATAAGTAGGGTTGAACATAACTTCCATATTAATAAACCCAATCACGATACATTATACAATAAATTTGATGAACACATTTTAATAATTGCATTATTTTCGAAAATTGATGGAGAAGTTTACAAATGTGCAAATTCATTAATGGTTCGATTCAAACGTGAAAATGATATTATTACAATGATTCCTAAACTAGATACGGCTGTGTATAACTTTCATCGTGGTATTGCTATTACTGCAGAGCTTCTATGAATGCTTTTGAATCATTTCTGAACGTTTTAAGCTTCATGTTATATCATATGCGTATATCCAGCATGCCTAATGTCACTAAGTATAATCATTTATGAGACACAACTATATTATGATTATACCTTTCAAGAATGGCTTTGCTCGTAAATGGAGAATTAAATGTCTATTCATTGGGAATTCGCGCTTGGTTGGGACATGATATGATGATCCTTATGAGCTCACTTCATTTTGTGATATACAGTAGTAATTAAATAACTTCGAATTAAACATAATATTACCTTTATTATAGCAACTTTGTCTAAATACTTTTAGCATGAAGTAATTAGAATATTACGTTGTACAATTGTTCGAATGTGATTTTTGTTTTAGAGAATACAAAATGTCGAATATTAAAATAAAAAAAATCACATCAATGATATCCGAGTCGAGGCCATGTTCAATTTCATGCACTGGACGGATGATTTCGATTTCTGAACTGCAACTCGCTTAATTATTGAATTATTAATCATCTGGTCGTAATTTGAAAGCGGTTCGAGTTTTATTATGTCATTTATAAAGCTGATTGAATGGAAATACTCACAGACGATCTTTAAATCAGCTAAGAATTGAGGTGATAAAAGTACAACAATTGTGATCATAAATTGTATATATAAGATATATCGGCAACTAAAAATGTATTATTGAAATCGGCGACGGACTTCGAAATTTCATCATGGGCTCCGGCACCGTTATTTTTTAGCGTCTTGCAATTTTTTTAAATCATTTATTAGATTATAACGAAATATGAATATCATGACTGATCTGTAGCTTTACCTGTCATTGTACGAGGTTTATCGTTCGGCCTCATTAGCCAGTATTCAAATCTGTGGTCTTTATCAATTCATGCTACTGCAATGCAATATTTATGCCTATATGGCGATATCTTATCACGACATGTCTGATCTACGGTGATTGGGAAATGGCCGCCAAATCGTTTAGCGACCGACTCAAAGTTCATGAACTCGCTAGCCAGAGTCCTTTTCACCAGATAATTCTGTTTCTTGCTACCTTCACACACAGAAAATTGTTATTAACAACTATTCTGTTAATATATTAAGTTTAATTGCAACTTTTAGACGTTCAATGTATAGAATTAGGTGAAATTTATCCGAGGAATATTTTTCGCAAATCTTTCATAAAACTGTTTTTTTTTTTCTCATTTATTATATTTACTAAAATCTTAATATATATATAATCAAAATACCATAAATTTGTGCAGAATCTGGTTATGCTTTTCGCCATCAAGAGTTTCAGTTCTCATTCATTTTCGTGTAAAAGTGCCAAAATTAATATTTTTATTTTCAACGACCCATCCCATTTTATATGGGTTTTTCGTACCTGTCATTTGTTTATGAAAGAAGTTAGAACGAGAATTTTCACATCAATTCAATTATTTATTTTTATGTTTTCCAGGACTTTGGGAAAGCGATGTCTGGTCTTTGCTGTGGTTATCAAAAAAATCAGATTACAAGAGCTTCCTATAATTTAATCCAGTAATGAACTATCAAAAACGCTATATTTATGATAGAGATCTACTATACACACACAATTTTCTTGATATAGGCGTTTGTACGCAATGATCAGACGAGTAGAACGCACGTTTATCGCGTTACCGTTTTCAAATATGCCGTATACCACGCGGCGTAATTACAAATGCGCGGGCTACTTCGGGCTTTAATTCTTTGATAATGACATTCAGGCAGCTATGATGAAGGCACTCTGGCAGGAATATCAGCAGATTCACCTTATGATCTGCCTGCCGATTGTCAAATATATCAAAGTCACTTTTCATAAACAAAGCATTATGATCTAGCTCTTTAGTTGAAACTTGTTTGTGATAGAAAAATGTGATTTCGGTGTATGAGACGTCTCGCATTGTCAAACTTATAGATCTTTCCACCGTCGAGAAATTGATGTCATCTCTACGGTTGGACGATTACCATCTTGCCTTTTGCAAATTCGTCACATGTGCGTTTATATTTTTCACAGTATATATCAAATTCTAAGCGAAATAGTTAGGATTTGGAATAAATTATCTGATGAATTAATCGGCTTCGTTGAGTCGCAAATAATTTTGGAAATATTGTTGAAACCATTTGACAGTAAAAATATTCTTCACCGAGACTTTTCGGCATTTTAACTAAACAGATTTCCCTTAAAATCTCATCGATTCACACCCGTTTACGGATGTTGTAAAATATTCGACATACATTGCGTGGTTCATAGCTCCCTAGACATTTTATTCGTTTGCTAATTAATATTATCGGCTTCCGTTTTTCGATAAATAATATCTTAATAATTCAATAATATTACCCAATAAAATCAAACGTTGCATTACAAAAATATAATGTCAATTATCCTAAGATACTTATAGACCAGGCAATTAGTATCAACTAACAATATGTTGTTTGTTTGTGCATTATATATACATTTCGAAAAAACAAAATCTCGCTAGTTTGGAATTGCTGTCTATTCAGATTTTTAAAGCCGATAATTCATCATTTACATATAACCACGCAACAAAATTATTCTAATATATATTGGCATACATTGATATAAATATTGAATATCTATGTTTTATTTTATTGAATCTCGTGGTTTTTATTCAATCAAAGTTTAAAATTTCTAATATAGATAACCTGCGTCACACCGATAATTAATGGATATTTTGTTGCGTCCGCGCATTCCGTTCGTCAAAGGTCGCAGAGATTTCGATGCATTAAGAATACGTGTTCGCAATTCAACGCCTGAGAGATGAGTTGTCTTTAGGGATGACGGAAATGGTATATTCATGTTTTCGGCCTACCGTAGAAATATTAGCAGTAATTGTCTTATTGCTTGTTTTTCATTCGCGTTTTTCTCATAAGCTACTTTAGTCACCTTGCACTGCTTTTCGGACGAAACAAAAACCATCCGATGCCAGATTTCCATTTTCCGCGAGAGATCGTCTTAATTAGTGAGTGCGTTTTGATGTAGGCGGTCCTCGTGGGGTTTTACGGTAGATAACGCTCGTGGGAAACGGGATGACACGGACCCCTTGTTAAGAATGCTTCTCTATGAAGGATCATGGCAACAAAACACGTGAAAATAGAGGATAATTTGCGTTAAGCACCTAACAAACAACGTTGAAGTGACAGCGCCTTTCTATAAATAAAATATCCAACGAATATTACATTGTATGGTGACCTCGGCTAATTTTTTGACTTTGACTAGCGGGTATTGAAGATTTTTTTTTTATTAGCATGAACCTTGAATATCCTAGAACCGATTGAACTCTATTATCTACCTACCTTATACTCTACTACCCCATACATTTCATTTGTTTATTCTGCCCTTAACTTC